TGTTTCTATAAAACCTATTAACAGGTTATTCTCCCTGCCTTCTAGTATTCTAGATCTAAGCTACTTTCTAAGCACATTTGGGAAAGGGAGAAAAGTTTTGCTGAAGTTTTCTAAATGTCGAGAAAGAAACAGCTTCTAACTTTTGCTTTCAAAACGTGACTTCTCTTCTCTGAAAACTTCAAAATCTAGCAGAAACTACTTCAGGGACAAAAAACAAATTATAGCAATGAGACACAGAAGAATTAAAATATTCTCCACAAAAAACCAAAGTACGCACACACACACACACACACACACACACGCAAGTTTTGGAATGGAAAAGGAAAAATAAAAGAAAAAATGTTTAAATGGCTATCAGGGAGAATTAAATTATTTACCTTAGTCATTGTAATAAAAATAAAACTAAATGCCTAAGAGACACAATCAGAAACAGGACATTTAATTTGAAATATCCAATGGGCAGCTGGAGATATACAACTGGAGCTCAGAAGGGCAGGATTGATGGATGTAAGAGTCATCTGCATAGAAATGACAATTTAACCCATTGGCGCTGATGAAGTCACTAAGAGTAAGAGAATGTGCAAAGGATAAAAGAGGGCCCTGGACAGAATCTCAGGGAACACCCATCATCTTAGGAGGGATGATATGCATGATGACCTGGGAAAGGAGACCGAGAAGAAGTCAGACGAGGAAAAAACATCAAGAGAGGGCATTGTCACAAAGACAGAGAAGGGAGAGTGTCCAAGAGGAGAAGGTATCAACAACGTAAGGTGCTGCAGAGAGAGGGATGACTGAGAAAAGCACCCATTCAATTTTGCAATTAAGAGATCACCAGAACCCACAGGTACACAAATGTTTCTAGCAGCTTTTGTGTGTTAGAAAAGAACTAGAAATTAAAGAGGTGCCCATCAATAGAGGAACTGCTGAACAAATTATGATATGTGAATGTAAGAGAACACTGTTTTGTGATGATGAGGAACCAGATGGTTTCAGAGCAACCTGAGAAGTGAGCAGAGCTGGGAAGACAATTTATACAATCACAACACAATTATAAAGGCCAATAACTTTGAAAGACTTAAGAACTCTGATCAATGTAATGACTGACCATGCTTCCAGAAGACCCATGATGAAATACACTACTAACCTCCTTACAAAAAAGTGAGGGACTTAGGATACAGATTGAGACAGATACAGAGCATGCCCAAAAAGTCAGTGCTATTTTAAGCTAACCATACTCTTTACAATAGTTGAGGTTGGCTCTATAAGTAGTCAGAATAGACACAGGAAATATTCATTACTATCCTGGAATCAGATACTGGTGATTACTCATTCAGAAATTCCAGGGCCCAATCTGGGACTCAGCTCTATAAACCAGGGGCAGGGGTGTAGGGTTGGTGGGTGGTAGGGTGGGTGTGGAGGGTGTAGGATCTACTCCAGATCTCCCCTTTTTGTGAGTCTTGTCTCCATGTTGTTCTGATTGTAATGTAGAAGCACTTGTTGCCTATTCTCCTCTATAGGAAAAGTAGAGGTCTGCAAGGAGTCCCTACTTGTATCGAGTCCATGAGCTACAGGAGTAGTTTGGGTGAGATCTGTAAATGAGATGCAATGACTCTGGAAATTTGCTGTTGTTCAGTTATTTCCATCATGGCAAGCTCTTTGTGACCCTATTTTGGGTATTCTTGGCAAAAATACTGGAGTGGTTTGTCATTTCCTTCTCTAACTCATTTTATAGATGAGGAAACTGAGTGAAAGAGGGTTAAATGACTTGCCCAAGGTAACACAGCTAGTAGGTGTCTAAGGCTAGATTTGAACTTGTGACCTGGAGCTCTATCCACTGCACCATCTAGTTGCTTTGAAAGTAGCCTGACACTAAAACTTGCCTTGAGTGATCTAGGGGACCATGAGGAGGCAGGTGAGTGGTGACAATGTGGGCTTAGGGGATCAAATTGAACTCTCACCTCAGATACTTATTGGCTACATTAGAGGCTGCCTGGTGTCAGGAAAATGTGGTTTCAAATCTTGCCTCTAACCCTTAGCAGCTGTGTGACCTTAGGCAAATCACTTAACTTCCCTGAGCCTCAGTTTCCTTGTCAGTCAAATGAGGGAGTTGGATCAATGGCCTCTAAAGTCCTTTCCAGTTGTAAATCTATAATCTTATTATTTTAATCAGTGGCAAATTACTGGCCTCTGTTTCCTCATCTGTAAACATGAACTGGTTAGACTAGGTAATCTCTAAATTCATCATATCATAGGATCATAATTTTAGAACTTGAAAGATATTAATAGTTAGCATTGATATTGTACTTTAAGGTTTGCAGTGTGCTTTACAAATATTATCTCATTTAATACTTGCAACAATTCTGGGAGGTAGGTATGCTCTTATTAATACCATTTTATAGATGAGGAAACTAAGGCAAGCAAAGTTAGGTGACTTGACAAAGGTCACACAGTTAGTAGGTGTCTCAGACCAGATTTGAACTCAGAAAGATGAGTCCTCCTGACTTCAGGTCCAACTTCCTATCCACTGGGTCACCTAGCTGGCTTCTTTTCCAGATCATAATATTTTATGATTCTAAGTGTCTATATGAAACATCACTACCCTATCTAGCATCATTAAAAGTGAGCTACTCCATGTTTAGCTTAAGTAACTAAACTTCACTTTTTTAATCATTGTAAAATTTTCAAAAATTTTTAAAATAATAGATAGAATTTTAAAAAGTTATCCAGTCACATCATTCCCTTCTTAAACTTAATATCCTTAATTTTAGGATCTTTGATTTTGTTCATTTGGAGTAGTCTTGTTGTTGCTGTTCAGTCATGTCTGACTCTTCATGACTTCATTTGGGGTTTTCTTGGCAAAGATGCTGAAGTGGTTTGCCATTTCCTTCTCCAACCCATTTTATGGAAGAAGAAAATGAGGCAAAAAGAGTTAAGTGACTTGCCCAAGATCACACAGCAATTAAGTGTCTAAGACTGGATTTGAACTCAGGTCTTCTTGACTCCAGGCCAGATGATCTATCCACTGCACCACCAAGCTGTCTCTAGGAGCAGGAGTAGGTCTACACACCCAGAATTTGACAACCAGTGAATCACACATCCAAACCAAATCTACATGTATATTTTTGCATACTGATGAATTTTAACAACTGATTCTGCAAACGAAAATTTTCTTAAGTTAATGTGTTAATATTCAAGTAGAGGAAACAAGATGTTTTTACATATGATGTGGTTTTTTTAGTGGGGGGTATAATATAGTTTTTCTAAGCTCAAAAAATATACTTTAAACATGAGCAATAGAATTGTTTTTAAAGTTACTTTTATTTCATTGCTGCAGGGATTTTGTGACCTGTCAGTCAGTCAGTAAACATTTATTAAGCATCTGCTACATGTGCCAGACACTATGCTCATTGCTGGGAATACAAAGACAGGCAAAAGACAGTCCCTACCCTCAAGGAACTCTCAATCTAATGGAACAGACAACACATAAACAACTATGTACCAAGAAGTTATACACAGGATAAACTGCTGATAATGAACAGAGGTAAGGTACTAGAATTAAGAAGGATCAGGAAAGGCTTCCTGCAGAAGATGGGATTTTAGCTGGGACTCAAAGGAAGTCAGGGAAGCCAGCAAGGGGAGATGAGAAGGAACAGCATTCCAGGCATAGGGAACAGCTGGTAAAATGCCTGGAATGGATGGATAGACTGACTTGTCTGAAGAACAGCAAGGAGGCTAGTGTCACTGAATCTCAGAGTAAATGTGGGGGGGACCAGAATGGAGGGCAGGAAGAAGGACAGGTGATAAGTTGAAGAAATTGCAATGTAGGTCATCACTCTCTCTGAAAATTAAAGTCTTAAAGACTTGACTGGGGCACTAAGAAAGTAAATGATTTGCGTAGGAACATATACATCAGAGGCAGGATTTGATCCCAGCTCTATCTTCACTCTGAAACCAATTCTCCATCCACCAAGCCACTTTGCCTTCAGTACAGATGGAAGAAAAAAACAAGAAAGTAAAAAAAAAGAAAACTACATTTATTTCACAAACCATGTAATAATAATGGTCGTGTGTGTGTGTGTTTTATCAATTTCATACTCTCTAATCATTTACAACCCATATAATATGCACTGTGGCCTTCCTCCTCTCAAAGGAACTTGGTTTCTACCGTTTCAGATGATCATATTATTAAAAAAAAAGTCTGATATACTGAATAGCATAAAATTTTCTTAATGCAAACAATATTTATTATGAATAGTAAAATAGCACTCATCTAGCCCTTTCAGGTTTGCGAAGAGCTTTACAAATATTACCTCATTTTATCTTCACAACAATCCTGACATGTTATTACTATTATCCCCATTTTACAGCTGAGGAAGTTGAGGCAGACAGAGGTTTGTGACTTACCAAGGGTCACCTCAATAAAAAGTATCTGAGGCCAAATTTGAACTCAGCTCTACCTGACCTCAGGTCCAGTGCTCAATCCTCCAGCTGTCTCTTTAATCAAATTGTTTTGAGATAATAGTGTTAACTGGAAATTAATTAGTAATAAAAATGAGGATTACCATAAACCAATAATTTTATGGAAAATGCCAAAGCAAAAAGTGAACCTTGCTATACTAAAAAGAACTACTCTTTATTATAGACAGTCTCTCTGTCATACATGCTTTCATTGAGGAGACAGTTGATTCTGATAATTAGTTCCTTCTCTGTTATTAATGTTTATTGAACACCCACAAAACTCTTGTAGTTTTATGGTATACTCATGTATAAAGCAGCATAACCACATAAATTTCTAAGCACCTAAGAGAAAACAGCAAAACAGTAGGAAAAAATGTAGATGACATAACAAAAGTGAAAATGAGAACCGGAAAACGGGAAATTCCTGTGATCAAGAAAAATGTGGATGGCATCTCTCAATAAATAGCTGACACCCATGGAGGAAAGCCATTCACCCTGCAGACCTTGGAAGTGTCTACACAGCCAGCTCCTTAAAGTTCACTATGACCAACAGCAGCATCTTACAACTGGCCCTTCTCCTGCTCCTCTCTGCTGCTGTCTCTTCTAAAGGCTATGACTCGCTTCACTTCCATCAAAGAAGAAACAATCGCAGGAGTTTGAGTCTCCTGAATGAAATGCTTGGGAAACTTCATCCAGAATGTCTACAGGAGAAAATGGACTTCAGGATCCCTCAGGAGATTGCACAGCCTAAGCAATGGCAGAAGGAGAATGCCACCATGGTCATCCATGAGGTGCTGCAGCAAATCTTCCTCGTGTTCAGCAGCAAAAATGCCTGCCCTGGTGTGGATAAGACCATCATTGAGACATTCCTCAGTGGAATCTATCAGCAAATGGTGCATCTGGAAATGGCCTTGGAGGAAGAGATGGACCAGGCCAATAGCACCTGGGGGGTTGAAGAGAGCATCTCGCATCTCAAAATTTATTATCAAGGCATAAGGAACTACCTGAAAAACAAAGACTACTCCAGCTGTGCCTGGAAGAGAGTCCAGGTGGAAATCAGAAAGAATTTTTTCTTCCTTTTCAAATTGACGGAATGTCTAAAGAACTGATGGAGTTGGAGTTTGTACTTCAGACACTAAACAGCATAGACAAATGTTGCAAGTGTTGCTGAAACCATCTGTTGTTTGGAATAGGTGGTATCCAGCATATTGGATTTGAAATTTGAACTGGACATTTTGCAGCTTTATTTATTTTTAAAATATGTATTTATTTAACAGATCTATTTAAGGTATTTTTTTACATTTGGACAATAAATTATTTTGGAATCTAAATTTGTTCACTTGCTTTTTCAACTCAATTCATTTATTCATTAAGTTTAAAAATATTAGTTTAGCAACTATTGTGCGCTAGGTATAATGCCTCTATATATTTTTTATAATTCAGAAATTTTTTTTTCACTAAGTTTCTATTTTTTTCTAGAGTTTCTGGAGCTCTTCATTTTATCTTTGCGCTCTCAGAAAAAGAAGGAGGAGCCATTAATTTAGAAAGCAAAGTCAGAGGAATTCCTGTCTGGACTTTCCTGCCATATTTGGGCTCAGAGAGTTCTAAAATACATATTTATATTTTAAAATATAAGACAAGGTCCTTGTCTTTAAGGAGCTTACAGTCAAGGGACACCCTCTCCACTCCCCAACCACTCCTCCCCCTTCCCACACATGCTTCTTACTGGTTGAAAATAGAGTCCATGTGTGAAAGAGGCCAAGAAAAGACAGGGTTATTATAGTAAAGGGGAAGCTTTAGGTAGGAGGCTCTTTCACTGTCATTTTTACCTCTGTGTCATGCCTATTACCTTCCATGGCATCCAGTTTTAGATTTTATGTCATCATTTTTTCCTGCTTCATAAATTTTCAGTTTAAAATCTACTTTTGCTTTTGTGTATTTTTCTCTTTCCTCACAAAGTTTCAGTATAAAATATTCCATGCTAACATCTACTTCAGGTAACTGAGTAGGTCATCCCCCTAAAAATGCTGATTTTTCCCATTGCCTTCCTCTGTTTTTCAAAATCTGCATTTCCACATTTACCTTCTAATGAGCTCTTTCCGTGTTGTGTTTGCAGGTACACATAAAAATTTCATTAGTAATTTAATATGTTAAGAAACGTTTGGTTTTTGCAAGTTATACCTGATTGCTGTGTTGTGGTATAAGAAAAAGCAAAATCTTGTCCAGTGGAACCAGCATTGAATTTGGAGAGAGAGGACCTGGGTTAGAGATCCAGATACATTATACAGCCAGCTGCTTGATTCATTACATTTATACTCATCATCTTGAATCCTAGAATAATTCAGGAGAGGGGATAGTTAAATATTTTCTTATTATTAAAATTACAACCTTCATAAATTTATCAAGTAGTTTAGAGAACCCACTCCAGTTTTTTCCATAAATATATATATATGATGTATGTACATATATATATGATGTATGTATAAGATATGTGCATAAGATTTGTATGTGCATATCAGTGTGTGTGTGTGAGTGTATTTTCAAACCAAGTCTCCCAAGTTGAAATAAATATCAGTTATGGGTTCTAAAATTTATTAACAATGTAACAAATTATAACAAAATTATTTACAAAGTTTTAGCTGTAAAAAAGCTCATAGCCAGAATCATTCCAGACCATCACTGTAATAGCAGATGACTTCTGATCACTTCCAAGAACATAGTCCCACCATTTACTTCACCTAGGATATCAATTAAAGTCTCTTCTCAAGAATTCACTTCATCCTCTTCAAGACATGCTATAACAGTTTCATCAGGAAAGATCTCTTCATCCCCTTTCTCTTTGTCCTCTACAGCTTCTCTCAAGCCGTAACTCACCAGTTTCTCCAAAATGACAGGTAAACTACCAATAAGTGAAGATTCCATCTGGTTCTTAAAGCTACAACACCTCCAGCCTCTCCAGATTCCCTCCTCCATCCTTCACCTTGCCAGTCAGGGCTGGTGGTCACCAGCATTTTTTATAACAACAGGAATGAATTTGCAAGCAGGAAAATGACAGGAACTGAGCAGAGAAGCAGTTCATTGGGACCACTGGCTTGGGTTGTCAGTGATAGAGACTGTGATAGGCTCCTTCTACACCTTCCCTCTCTGAGAGGGAGGGGAAACAAGAAGTGAAGAGCTTGGACCAATACTGGTGATTGGCTTTGCCCAGCTCTTTGGACACAGAGGGGAAAAAAGATTCTGTGGCTTGGCTTTTGTGTCTCACCAGCCTCACCCATTGTCACTTCTGCCTTCCTGTTCTGGCTATGTGTTCTACTTATGCCTGACCTGGATTGCGAGGGGGCCTTAGGGTGGAGTCCCCTGGGTGAGTCTGGCCCGCCCTCGTTAACCGGATAGGCTATTGGGCAGCACGTGCTGAGGACTGCAGCGGTCTGGCCGGGAGACGGGTCCACAATTCATCCCTCCCTCGTCATCCTTCCATCGTCATCCTTCCATTTCTGCATCCCTTCATCTGTCCCTGCATCAAATAGTTGGACTCTATGAGGAAACTATTCCATCTTTACCAAGAATCATCAGCAAAGAGAGCTGGAAGGCCCACATACTCCCTGTCCCTCTCCTGGTGTCCTGCTATACCTCCACATTAACATCATGGGCATTTGGGAACTCTGGGTTAAAATGCCAATTCAGTGCCATTTATGTACTTTGTGAACCATGTATTTCCAAGGTAATGCCATGAAAATTATGAGCTGAGTGTTGTAGATATCATCCCCTTTATACTTAAATTCAACTCAATTTAACCAACTCTGCCCTGAATCTGAGTTGTTTGCTTCCCAAAGCCAGCTGATTTCTTTTTCTTTTTAAGAATAAAAATTATTTCTATTGGGAAAACAAAACAAAATAATACATCCATCTCTATTTGTAGTCTTCCGGGGATACTTATTTAGCCCTCATATAAGATGAAAAGCATTACTTCAATTTTTAAAAGAATCGACTCCTTGTAAGGAAGTCCCAAGTTTAGAATTTCTTGCTAAAAGTTTTGACCAATCACCCTCTTAATGGAAGTTCAGTGTGAGGGAGCCAGATCCTGAGAATGTGACAAGGAATGAAAGATAGTAACTTAGAATTATCCTTAAAAGTTTAAATTTTAATAATATTTCACCTTTGGGGTTACAAAAAAACCCACAAACAAACAAATTTCTAAGATCCATTGAGGTGAGCTGTGCTTAAGTGACTCATTTGTGGAAACAAATGAGATCTTTTGCATTAAAAGATGAATGTTATTGACTCAGGAAATCTGCTTCCTGAAGTTGACTTAGGGTCTTTAGATTTTTTTGAAGGCCCAAGCACATTTGTGAAGTCTCTAAGCAACACACAACAACTTGAACCAGTAGATGGCAGCATCATTTCAATCATCTAAGGACTGATTTTTGTAGAACATTGGCCTCACGTGGAATAAGTAACTTTAGGTGGGACCTGACTTGAACAGCAAGGAACATGTGATCAATTGGAGAATGAGATGATTGTCTGAGTTCCACCGTATTGTCTTTGTTGATTTGTCTCCAACAAAATGACACCATAGCCTTAAACATTCACCCATGCTATTAGTTCTCACTTCTGGCCTTCCTGGAATGCATAGGGCATTGGCTTCTCAGGGCTTACTGATGTGACCAAGACAACCACTGCAGCTAGGAAAGCATCTTCAAACTCTGCCTGTCCTCACTTTCACCTATTCCTGGCTACAGCAGACACTGCTCAGTGTCTAAAGCAATGACAAGTGAGTAAAACCACACACACAATTTTCTTTTCCTTTTTCTTTTCTTTTTTTGGTGTGAAAGATCGGACAGGCATGGATTATGATTACATTATCTCCTCCTCCCTCGAGTTCAGCAAACATGCCCCTCTTCTAAACTTCCACACTAGGCTCAAAATTTTGATATTAATCATTGATGTCAATACCTCACTTTCCCCCATGCCACGTGTCCAATCAGTTGTTAAATCACATCATTTCTAGCCTCACAATCTGTCTTATATATGTCTCTACTCTATTCATCCAGCTACTTCAAGCCCAAACTACTGCAATAGACACCCAATTGGTTTCTCTGCCTCTAGTCTTGCCCGTATCTGATCTATCCTATACAAGGCTGCTAAAATGATTTTCTTCAAGTGCAGGTCTGACCAGGTCGCTGTCGTGCTCAATAAACTCCAGTGACTCCCTAATGTCTCTAGGGTGAAATATTATTTCATCTTTATTTTCCCATCTTTTATTTGTATATTTTCTGTTATAAAAATGTATAATTATCAGTGTAGTAATTTGTGTATATAATGTATAAATAAACACATGTTATTTGTAATAATGTGGGTATGTGCTCAAAAAATGTTTACTGATAGGAATGCACAATAAAAACATGTAGAGACCAGTTTTGTAGAATAAATGCTAAAAGCTTCATGACCTAGCAGCTCACAGCAATTCTCCCTTCTCACTTGAAAGACATCAGGGAAAGATAGCATTTTTCCATTCATTTGAATTATATGTATTCAAAATTAATTCAAACTCAGTGCCCAGTTAAAAAACTTTTCATCATTGCCCAGTTACAAATCAGAAAACAGTTACTGAACATCTGAGCAGCCTATGATTCTGAGAAAGTGACCCTTTATCATGCGTAGAAGCAGACTTTGAATGTAATGGCACCTGGCATAACACATTATGCATTTTCAAAGGTCTTGGTCCTCATGGCCTAGTCCACCCAACATACAAGCACAGTTTATATCACAATTTTTTTTAGGAATTTATATACTTATTTATTTAGTATTTTATTTTTTCCCAATAACACATAAAACAGTTTTCAACATTCATTTTTCAAATTGAGTTCCAAATTCTCTCTCTCTCTCTCTCTCCCCCTGCCTTCCACCCCCATTGAGAAAGCAAGCAATTTGATATAGGTTATACATATGTATTCACACAAAACATTTCCATATTAGTTGTGTTGTAAAATAAAATATAAACAAAAATGAAAATTCAAGAAAAACAAAATTTAAAAATGCTTCAATCTGTATTCAGATTACATCAATTCTTTCTCTGGGGATGGATGGTATTTTTCATCATAAGTCCTTCAGAGTTGTCTTGAATCATTGTAATGCTGAGAATAGCTAAGGCATTCACAGCTGTATATCACACTTTCTAAGACTCTCTCATGAGCACTTGCATTTCATGAAAATAAATGTCTACAAAAATTAATAAAGGTGATTAGCCATTTTGTGGTAAAAAAAAAGGAATTGGAAACAAAGTAAATGCCCATCAGTTGGGGAAAAGGCTAAATAAATTGAGAGACATCGGTGTTATCAAATATTATTGGAGTGTTTACTACAGAGAATACAAATAAGCATGGGAAGACATATGAACAGATACAGAATGAAGTGCACAGAATCAGGCAAACAATATACACAATTACTACAATATAAATGGGAAGAACAAAATAAATAGAAAAAAAAGAAAGTGAACATTGTAATTTTAAGGATCAAGGTTGGCCCCAAAGAACAGAAAAAATGTATATCTACTTGTCTTCCTTCTTTAGAGATGGGAGGAATATGAGTATGGAATGTTACATACACAATCTGACTCAGTTAATGTGTTGGTTAACCTTGGTAAGCTTTTATTTATAAAGAAAAATAATAGCTAGCATTTACATGGCCTCTACTATGTACCAGGCACTGTGCTAAGCATTTTGGACATATAATTTCATTTTTACCCTCACAACAACCCTGGGAAGTAGATGGCATAATTATACTAATTTTACAGATGAAGAAACTGAGGTAAAAAGAGGTTAAGTGACTTGTCCACGGTCATGTAACTTTCAAGACTCTGAGGACAGATTTGAGCTCAGGTCTTTCTGACTCTAGGCCCAGCATTGTACCCACTATGCCACCTAGCTGCTTTTATTACAAAGGACAGCTCACTAAAGTGAGGGGAGGAAATACTTTTTTTTCTTTAGAAATTTATATGTACATATATATAAATATATTATGCATATATATTCACAAATAAAGATGATTAAAACATAATAAATGTTTTAAATAGCTACATAGTTGTAAAGATGGGTCTCTTTTTGAAATAACACTAATAATATAATATAATAATACTAATACTGATAAATACTAAAACTTTAAAGGTTCTGGGTCTGGAACAGTTCTTTGCATCCTCATTATCTAGAACCCCTTTACCTGCTCCAAGTTTCTGTCACTTCTCCTCCATGTCACCCCCTAGGCTTCTATAACAACAAAAGATCATTTATCATTGTTGTGGAGACATTACTGTAAAGGTGCCTTTGAGGTCATCTAGTCAACACCCTCATTTTGCAGATGAGGAAACTGTGGCTTAGAATGCTAAAATGACTTGCTCATGGTCACCTACATAGGAAGTGATAGAGGCAGGATTGGACACAGGTCCTCCAACTCCAATGCCAGTCTTCTTTCCACTGAAACACAGTAAGGCTATAGCAATGCACATTAAACATGATAAAAATGGAAAAAGAAAAAGTAATTTCCCCTCTGTCCCTCAACAAAGAAAATCCTTGAAAGCTCAATTGATGAAACAGATCAAAAGGAAACTGAATGCACATTAAACATGATGAAAATGAAAGTAGAAAATGTGGTCTCCCCTCTAAACAAGTGGAAATTCAGCTTGCCAGAATACAATGCAATGACATCAGCAGCTCAGAATGCAGATGGAAACCAAGACAGGTGACAAGCCAAGACTGCAATGTACTACCAAGGGAAAATCAGTGGATTCTAAATGAAAACAGAAATTGTCAAATCTGTCCTCTACTACAGTCTAAGGTACCCCAAGACAGGCCTTTAGCGGGTACCTCACAACACTAATTGCACCCTGTTTTCCACATAGCAAGTCTCAAAGGGAAATCTATGGGGCTGAAATTTTCCATTTTACTTCACCATATAAAGAAAATAAAAATTGAGCCCACCCTATTATTAAAAGCCATCCCCGATTCATTGAAGATATAGTCATATCAATCTTATTTTTGATCAAATTTGATTCTGTCTTACATAACAGGGATGAATCACAGAATACCAGAATCTTAGAAGGGTAAAGTACCTTGGAAATCATTTCAGTTCAATAGTTCAGTTCAACAACCTAATATCCAATCATGGTATGTTCTTAGGTACAGTCATATACACACACATACATGTATATATAGACATATATTCATATACACATATGTGTATAAATGTGAATATGCATGTATATACAAATACACATATACATACATATATATATATGTATAAACTGCTGCCTATTATAGGCAAGGTACCATGAAAGGAAGGAGACAGAGAAGGTGTCGTAGAGGAGATTACTGTTAAGTTGGGCACTGAACAAGTAAGAGGCCGATAGATAGAAAGGTGGAGGAAAGCAATGCAGAGACACACAAATACAAGGAAATAGAAGATGGCAGGATGGGACTAAAGAATTCAGATTTGGACAAAGTAAGCTAGAATACTTATCACCTGAGTATTTTTTGACAAGTCACTTAAATCTCTGAGACTGTTACTTTTTTTCAATAAAATCAAAATAATATTAGTTTACTGGGTGTTGACAAGAGTTTGCAGGAAGCAGTTCTGAAAACCTTAAATTTTTGCATAAATACAAGTTATTATTATTAATGCAATTATTATAATGGTATAGGCAAAAGTAGATGAGGACAGGAACTTTGGTGAATATCATGGGGATTGAAAGGATGGGCAGGTGGAAAGAGCTACTTCATAGGTAACTGATGAGATTTGGTGACTGATTAGATCTGTGCTACAATGTGCTAGATGCTGGAGAGATACAAGATTGCCAGGAGAAATCCCTTTTACACATAAAACTTAATCCAGAACACAACCAACGGTGAATTTAGTTGCCATTTTACAAATAATCCAAATGATGATTTTTTTGATGATGTCTTCTAAAACTGATGTGGAAACTAAGTAAAAGAAAGCAGAAAGTGAAGGGAAATTACATTCTAAGAAGTGAAAACTACACTCAGCACTATTTAAGAGAGAGTGGCTTAGAGGCCACATAACCCAAGAAGCTGAGACAAAGGCTCACTGGTCTCCCAGCTCAGTCAAACCCAAACCATCCTCAGTGTCACCATGACCTCCTGGACCTTTGTGCCAGTTGCCCTGATGCTGCTCTGCTCCAGCACCCTCTGCTCCCTGGGCTGTGACCTGTCTGAGGGCCTGAAGGAAGACTTCTCACTTCTGCACCAAATGAGCACATTTTCCCTGGTGCCATGTCGGAAGGACAGGACCAATTTCAATTTCCCAAAGGAAGCCATGGAAGGCACTCAACTCCAGAGGGAAAATGGCACAGTCATTGTTCATGAGATGCTCCAGCAGATCTTCACCATCTTCAGCCTGAATGCCACTCCTGCAGCTTGGAATCAGATCCAGCTCAAACAACTGCTCAGTGGACTGGATCAGCTGGAGAGGTGTCTTGGGCAGGATGTGGAGTGGGAAGAACCTCCCTTGGAAAGTGAGAACCTCAGGCTGGCCCTGAACAGCTACTTCCAAAGAATAAGGCAGTACCTACAAAGTAAAGAATATAGCCACTGTGCCTGGGAAATTGTGAGAGTAGAGATAAGGAGGGTCTCTCTGTTCATGAGTAAAATCACAAGAGAATTCAGGGACTGAGGATGAAGAAATGAACTCTAAGAACTCTTCAGTTCCTTGACCAATTTCATGTTTCCTGAAACCCAGCATTCGAGAGTTAAAAAAAAGACTGTAATTTCTGCATCAACTGAAAAACATCTGAATTCATTGGATTGTTCTTATTTTTTCTTTTGTTTTCTGTGAGGCAATTGGGGTTAAGTGATTTTCGTAAAAATGTGAGGCCTAAGAATAGAGAGAAGTTTCATCTGTGCTCAAAAGCTGAATAGTAGTAATGCTTTATAATTGATATTGATATTTATTATATTTATATTATTTTATATTTATGTTATATTTATAATTGATATGTATTTATGCTGGTCTATTATTCTCTGAGGAAAGTAAATATTTGTATGGTATTAATAATGTCCTGTTTTTATATTAAATGTAATTAAAAAAAACCTTTTGCCCCATTATTTTTACTAAATAAACTCTCATTGAAAAGCTAACTGGATGTTCCCAAGGGAATGGATAACAGATTCAGTGGAACAATTCAATTCAAGCAACATTTATTAAGTACTTACTATAGAACAAGGCAGTAAAGGAGATGCTGGTAACATATAGAAGAAAAATTATCCAGTTACTTCCCTAAGAAACTTAATAGTCTAAAGGAGGGTTTCTTGACTTTGAATTCACAAGGTCTGTGAATAAATTTCAAGAGGTTCTGGAATCTGGATGAGAAAAATATTACATTTTTATTTTCTCTAACCTGTAATTAAATTTCGGCATTATCCACTATCAAAAAAAAATTTATTCTGAGGAATCCATAGGCTTCATTGCCCTTTCCAAAGAGCCCAAAACACACACAGAAATAAAGAATCTGTGTTCTAATGGGAGTATGCAACACATGCCCAATTACATGTGATCCAAGAGAAGACGAAATCAAGGCAAAAAGGGAGAGGGCCAAAAAAAAGTGGTCCAACAAAATTTTATGAAAGAGAGAACACCTTTAGCTGAGAGAGTGAAGGGCAGCTTCCTGGAGGTGGTGACATTAAAACTGGACCTTAAAAAAAAGAATATTCCAGAACTATTCTTCATGAGATGCTCCAGCAAATCTTGTTGTTCAAAAACAAACCCCAAAACATAAAAAATGGTTTTTAGAAAGAATTTTATTAAGTTGATTGAGTCAGAAAAGGTGTGACTCCCTCCCCCAAATCTCTTTTAAATTTCTTATCATGCAGAATTCAAACAATGGTGCAAGTTGGGTGACCTGCACATGTATAAGTTTCTTGAGATATATATCAGCATGTAAGTATAAACATTCAACAAAATTTGGATGAAGCCAAAACACAAGCGATTGGGGAGCCCAAAACACAAGCTTTTTGGGTGGACCTAAAGACTCAGGTGAGCAAACCCAAAAGAAGCATGCTGGCTTCCGTGGATAGTTTCTGAGGTCAGCATGACCTACAGTTTGGGGTTAGACAATTTCTAGACACATAAAGCTAGGTTCAAACAATATTAATAAGTAATCAAATATTTTCCCAACAACCTTTAAGCATTTAAACCAGAATACTTCTTCTGCTGCTTGGAATAACTCAGCAGATTGGATCAGCAGTTGAAATAGCCAGAGAGGAGTTTTGAGTAGGAGATGAAGTGGGAAGAGCCTTCCTTGCAAAGTTAGAACCCGAGCTTGGCCCTGAAGAACTATTTCCAAGGATTAAGTCAGTATTTTAAGATGAAAAAATACAGTTAGTCCACCTGGAAATTTATCTGAGTCAAAATCAGGGGAGTCACTTTCTGTTATGAGGAAACTAAGGAAGAAGAAATTAACTTTCTAAACATTTCAATTCCTTAGCTAAGTATGAAATGAGAGAGTACAGGAGAGGATGGGTGAATAGTTTGGCCTAGAATCCTTGAAGGGGAACAATGTGTAACAAGATAGATATATGGAGCAAGATTGTTGAAGGCTATAAATGCAAGCACAGTAAGTTGATATTCTATCCTAATGGCAATAGGGAGCCACTGAAGGTTTGGGAACAGAGGAATGACATCATCAGAGCATTGTACTAGAAAGATTGTTTTGGCATACGGGCTGTATGAGCTAAGATTGTTGTCAAGAAGATGACTCAGACTGCTATTACAATAGGGGAGACCTAATGAGGGCCTGATCTAGGTGTTAGTGTGAGTTTAAAAGATGGAAAAGAGGAGCAAGGATGACCAGGAGAACCTCTGATTAGATGGATGAGTCTCATGCTATTAACCTGGTGTGATTACAGGGCATGGAACTTTATCAGGAGGTGGGATAACTGCCTACATAGCTAGATATTGCCTTAGTACCTTGCCTTGAATACACTGGGACATCCTGCTTGGTCCCCAACAACTGAGGCTACCTTGAAAGTGATTAGAAACTGAAAATCAGGGGAGACAGGATCTTGTCAATGGAACCTCCCTCCCTCCCCTCTATGGTCTGTAAGAGTCAGCAATGGAAACAACTTTGCCCCCTTAATACTTTTATCCCTATTTTTTCTCTCTTGAATTTCTAGGTTGTAGTGCAACAAGGAGGAATGGGAAAATTTCTCTTTCCTCCCATCAAACCATGACAACTCACAGGGAAGCATATAACAGTGGGAGATTCATTTGCTGAGGTGAGCTTGATACCGGAGTCCCTTGACCTCGCACTTCTAGCTGTTTTCTTCAGCTTTTATGTTTCTCTTCCTGAATCCAGATCAGAGACTAGCTAACTGCCCATCCACCCCACCATCAACTATTCCAACTTTGTGGTTTTTATCTCCAATTCTATGATTAACAGGCTTATGAACACAGTACCAATCTCTCCCAAGTGTCAATCCTGAATCACCTTTTTTTTTCCTATTGGATATTTTAAATTGGATGTAACAGGAACATCTCCAATTCAGCTCATCCAAAAGAGAACTCATTATCTTTTTTCAAACACCTGACCTTCTTCCAAAGTTCTCTGTTTTTGTCAAAGACACCCACACTCCCCTAACTTCACAAGTTCATAACCTCAGCTTTCTTTGACTCCTCACTCTTCCTCACCACACAAATATAAACCAGTTGCCAACTTACCATTTCTATTTCCACATCTGTTACATCCAAGCCCTTGGTTGTTATTGTTGTTGTTTGTCCTTCATTTTCAAAGAGGACCAATGATATCATGGGGTGATGTCTTGACAATGCCTTAATTCAGCCCCTCATACCTCTATCCAAATTGTTGCTACCAATTCCTAATTTGTCCCCCTGTCCCAAATGTTTCTCTACTTGAGGCCAATCTTCAAGGCTGCCAAGAGTGATTTTCCTGAAGTGTATATCTTACCATGTCACTCAATCAACTCCACTGGCTATCTATTGCCTGTAGAGTCATATGGAAGACTTCACTATTTAGTTTTTAAAACTATTCACAAACTAGCTCCAATCTACTTTCCCATCTTCATTTCACTTTACTCCCCTTCCCACAGTCTGTGAAGGCCAGACTGGTCTTCTCTTTATCCCTCACATACCATCTCTGTCTCTATGCCTTTGCACTGGTCACCCTCGATGTCCTTCCTCCTCACCTCTGCCTCATAGAATCCTTCCCTTTAAGACACAGCTCAAAAACACCATCTTCTATATAAAATCATTCCTAATACCCCCAATTGTGAATGCCCTCCCTTCCAAACTACCTTGTATTTAAAACTGCTTTGTATTCATTTGTATTTATTATATTTATATTTATTCTGTATATAATTATATACATATTTCTTGTCACCCTTGCTAGAAGGTAAGTTCCTTAATAACAAGGATTGTTTCACTCTTTTAATTTGTGCCTCCAGTGCCTAGCACTGTGCTGACATATAGTGGTGCTTAATGAATGGTTTTTGGTTGACTGATGATAATCTTGAGTTTGAGAGTTGAGTTTCAGAGTCTGGCACTAGCTGTGCAGGGTGAAATGTCTTTAATAATATACATTGCTCATACAGAAGATGGTCAACAGTATGACTGTTGAACTAAAGCCATGTAATGAGGGGGCCAGGAGATCTGGATTTTGCCAATCTTCCAAGAAAACTATTGTCAGTTGCTTAGATAGTACAGGACTAAAGTGAATGTGAAATATCTCTTCAGCAGTCCAACAAAAGATCTTTAACTTCCAGGAGGAATACAATATGTGAAATGGGTTGTTTGAGTACTTTCTAAGAGGAAGAATGGCATAGCAGATAGAGAGCTGGCCACAGAGTCAGAAACACTCGAGTTCAACTTCTACTTCTGACTCATTCTATATTTCTGACCCTGAACAAGTCACAATTTCTCAGTGCTCTATGTAATTCTTGGAGTCTATAAGCTATAGAGTTGGTGCTGATTTGCACTGGTAGAGGAAATTTCTCCACTGGAAATCCCATTTTCCAGTGAAATCTTAGGCCCATTCCAAAATATATCCTGTATTATAGCTCATGTTGGCTTGAAAATGCTTTATGTCATGCATTTTCTATGATCAAGGAAATTTTTTAAATATTCCAAACTGATACTCAAATTATACATTGAGGATTTTATGGAAATTGACCACATTGTCCATTTGTAGGGAGAACCTAAATATGAGCTATACTTAAGCTTTGTTTTAGAGGTGTCTTCTTGAGAAAAAAATAAAATAATTTTCTCATTTCCCTTGATTCTAGATCTTTTTTTCTTCCAAATGAATTTTGTTATCCATATTTAGCTATGAAAAGTATATTTTTGGTTGTGGTTTGTTCTTCATTCTCGAAGAGGACCATGACATCAGGAAGATGATGCCATGACTTACAAGGGAATTGGTTTTAAGTGAGGAAGGGTTGTGCAAAGTAACCAGCCTCTTTTTCTTCTCTGGATCCATCTGGGTCCAGTGACCAGATATGGATCAGGACAACTAAAGATGGCCCAGGATGCGGTGGGAGACCTTGGCCTTTTTAAGCTAAAATCTTTCTGAGTTCTCACTTTGACAAAGGCAATGCCCATTTGGTGATTAAGAGGTGGCCCTTTTAATAAAAAAAATTCAAATGGGAGGGGAAGTTTGATAA